TTTTTTTTTTCATATCAAATTAAATTTAAACAAAAATCAAAGTCTAGTTACTCATATCTCGACGGAAAACACCTAATTCACCATGACTTAATGCAACAAATACTTTATTGTCAGTAAATCTATTTAAATAAAATGATGTTATTAAAAATTAAATCTAAATATACATATGAATTTAAACTTACAAGATGGAATGAATTGCAGAACCAAGTTGTTTTACAATACGACTTTTACGTGCAACTGTTTTCATTGTTTCTGTACATTGAAATATTAATATTCTTAAAAAGAAATTATTCGAAATAAAAAAAAAAATCTTCAATCAAAATAAATGAAACTTACATTCCATCATCAGTTCCTAACCACATTGTAGCTTCTCTTGTATCTTGTTGTTCATTATTAATATCACTTTCTAATAAAATACATTGCTGTGATGATATTGTTTGATCTGATTGATCCAAAGAAAAAATATCTTCATTATTAATTGTAGTTAATGTATCTTCATCATCACTTGAATCAATATCAAGTAATGAATCAACTGTTGTTTGTACATCGGAATTATTTGATATTGATATAGGTTCTTGTTTAACAATAAATCCATGTTTATTTTCTTGTCGTTCATCATCTTGTTGTTTTTGTTTATGTTGATGTTGTTTAATACTACTTCCTGTTCGTCGACCTTTATGTGATGGAACATAAGCAACGCAATTGATGCGTGATGATATAACTGTATTGCATGCTTTTAATGTTACATCAGATTGAACATTAACTAAACATACTTGACCTTCCGAATTACAAATACATATATCACCTAATGATAAACGAGGAGTACCACATAAAAACTATAAGAAAAAGATTATTATTTTTTAAAGAAAAATATTTTAATTTGTTTTTTTTTTTCAAGAACAGACTTGACTTCCAGGTCGACTATGTGGAAGTGTAAGAACATTTTGAAAACTTATATTTCGTCGTCCAGCAGCAACTTCGACTAATCAAAAGAAAAAACAAAGTTTTATTTTCAAAATTAAAACAAAAAACAAAATAATAACTTACAAAGAGCTTTCTTAGCTTCAAGAAAACTCTTTTCCCATGCTGCTTTAAGTTCTGATGACGAAAATAAAACATCAATTGTTTCTGTACGTTCTCTAAATATGAAAAAAAAAATTGATTGATAATCTAATAAAATTTTATCTAAATACGTTGTATGAATTGTTAATTGAATATTATTTGATTTTTGTTGATTATGATCAAGAGTAATTGGTTCAGGACTTGCTGTTCTAATATTCGTCATTGATGTTGTTTCATCTGTTAAATGTTTATTAACTGTATGAAGAACTTCTTTTATTGACTCATCTAACTGCTAGACAAAAAAAAAAAAATTTTAATTAAGTTATATTTATTGAAGGAAAAGAAAAATAAAAGAAAGATATTTACTTGATGAGGCACAGTTATCGTTTTAGCTAAATCGGTCATTTGTCCAAGAGTAAGAACATCATCTTCTAAATGTCGACATTTATCTCCACTAGTACTTGTCGTTGAATGAAATTTTATCATTGATGGTGGTGTTGCTCTTTTTTTCAAATGATCTTTTGTAAAAAAAAAAAAAACAATGAGTCATTTATGTATTGTTAGGTAATATTCGATCAGAAAAATATCTCAACTATTTTATTGCTCTAAAGCACATGTCTAATCAAAATTAAATCTCACGATCTCAAGAAATTATATGAAGATTTATTAAAACAGAATATTTTGAAAATATTAATTTTAAATCACAAATTTAGAATATTCTAAAGATTATATGAATTTTCTATAACTAAAAAACAAAAGTCTGTCGTTCGACTTTTCTCAAGATCAAAATCAGTGAATTGTTCACCCTAATGACTTTACTAAGTTCAGATACCCACAAGGGTACTCTACTACCAGTATGTCACACAAACCTTTGAGTACATTATGGGTTTTTACCAGTGAATTAAAAAATACTTCTAAATGTTCAATGTACTAAGTTGTTGAAAACTTTTTCATAGAATGTTATACAAATTGGGCAAGTAACTTGACGAATACATGGTAAATACCCATCTACTGAGATAATTCTTAATAGGGTACGCAACCAAGATCCTGTGATATACTGGTAGGAAGGTACCTTAATGACAACTGGACATAGTACACAGATATCTTGAAATCAGTACATCCACTAGAGTATATCTTCAAAGGCTTTTCCTAGGACAATATCCATCATATTCTCAACAAAATATCCTTGCGAAGGACATGAATCAATTTACACCTGTCGTTGTTGACGTTAGTAATTGTTTCATACAAATGTAATATAATTCGTTCATATAATTTTATCAACCAACATACGATTGATAATAGCAATAATGCTCATTCGCAAAATTAGAAGAAAAAAAATTTACAATATTATTAATAAAACAAATTTGAAAGATTCAATTAAAACTTTTATAAGCATAGAGATAAATACTCCACGCAAAAATAATTGGTTAATTCGTAGTACTCATAAAGAAAAACTCTTTGAAAGCAAAATGAAGAATTATCTAATAATAAGAATACATAGCTGATCGGGTACTACCGATTCATTGTCATTTTTGCATATCTATTCACAATGTTATATATATATAATCATGAATCTATTTTCGAACAATTTTTATTTTAATTAAAATCTACGTTTGATTGAGTGAAGGAAGAATTCATTTGAATCATTCTTTCTTATATTTACCTGCAGCTAAATCAATACTTTCCAATGAAATCTTCATAATTAATTTATGTTTTGCATTATCAAGATATTGTTTCCCAGATGGAGAATTCCTTGAAAAAGAAAAAAATAATAAAACTTTTCTTCAAATAAAAAAACAACTAAAAAAAACCAACATACACAATAACTGAAGTAGCTGGTTTTTTAGTTAAAGTTCCACTTCTTCGTTTACAACTTGTTATAATAACTAAATCATTAAATAAAAAGATATATCGATCTTTTTTTAATCCTGATGGTGATTGAAATGTAACAACATCATGACGAATATAATAACGATCAGCATTGACTAACTATAAAAGAAAACAAAAAACCAAAATCAATCTTTATTTTTATCAAGCAAATGAAAATAAGACAAACATCATTTAAATTTTCAATCATATCTTGAACAACTTCTAATGAATTATTTGTAACAGTTAATTCAGTTGAACCAACATCTTTTTGTACTTGATCAATTTGTTCAGCTAATGAATGAATTTCTGATTGTGCTTTAAGCAATAATTGATAATCCGGATGATTTAAATTTGTACATTTAAGAAAATCTTTTATATATAATTCATATCTTGGAATACGTTGCACCGGTTGAATTATTAAATCTCTTAATGTTAATTTACCACGATGATCACGTGCTTGATGTTCAAGAAATTTATTAAATGATGATGAATCACGACAAAGACGAATAGCTATTTGGGCTGTTTTATAATTATTAACAAAACTTGTATAAGTTTCAATAACTGATGTTCGAGTAAACTATTTTAATTAAATTAGCAAAAGAAAAAGAAGATTTCTTTTTTATTTTTTTATTTAAATTATATTTTACCATTTGTAATAGAAGATCACCAACAGTTTGTTTATTATCCCATTCAGATAATTTTTGTGAAAGTGAAATAAGAAATGCCTAGAAAAAATTTTCTTTTTAATTAAACATAAAAGAATAAATGCAAAAAATATACCGTATGATGAATATGAATTTCAGGTATTTTATAAAAAATATCATTAAGAAGATCATTAGAAATAACTGTTTTATCTTTCATTGGTAAATAATATTTCTGAAAAAAGAAAATTATTTATTTGACATTGACAAGTACATAAACAAATTAAAAAGATTTCTCATTTTATAATGTCAATATTTAATTATAAATCTTCTTAAAGAATAAAAAAATAAATAAAAGAATTTCTATATTTACCGTAACAAGATTTTTGAGTGCTTCAACATAAGATTTTTCTGTATCATACATTTGCATAGCTATAGCTTTTCGTTTAGCCTAAAATATAGAATTATATTTAATATGAATTTTAATTATTATTGATTAAAGAAGAAAAGAAAAAGTTGATAAGAAAATAAAATTGAACCTGCTGCCAACGACCATCTTGTTGCGGTTCTGAATGATGACGTCTAACGGCATAAAATGCGAGTTTTGAAATTAATGGTTGATCATTAGGAATAGGCGTTGATGCACGGATTATGGGAGATGAATGTGATGTCTTTTGATCCGACATTAGATGGATCACATTTGACATTCCATGTATAAATATTATGTGTTTGTTATGTTGTCGTTAGATAGACTCATAAGATGGATATTAGATGAAAGAAGAGAAAAAGATGCGAAGGCGGAGGCATTTCTATCGTCTATCTGATAATTTTTTCTTCTGGTAGTTGTCTTGATAAAGCAATAAGAAAAGAAAAAAGAACATGTGCATACCTCGTTCTTGTCGTCGGTTGTTCCACTAGACGTAGGAGTCAACCCTGTGAGTGATGTACTAGTTAGTATAGTACCATTTGCTGACAATCCACAAGCTTCTTCGATATTAACTACCGACCGGTTTCTGTCTCTTTCTCTTTCATTCGAACAACTTAATTCAGGTGTTGATTGACATGTTATATTTTCATTTGATTTGATTTCATCTGATGATATTTTCATTGAACTTGAATTAACATTATTTGGATTATTAAATGTATGACTACGTATAACTGAAACTCGACTATTACGTCGACCAGATGATAAACTTGAATTTCCACTACTATCGACAAATTCAAAACGACCAATTGGTTCCTAAATTTTAAATAATTTTTAAAAAGAAAATGAATAAAAATAATGTCTATTTTACTTGATATTTTCTATGAACAATAACTGGTCTAAAAGGACTTAAAAGTTTCGGTGGTCGAATATCTGTTGGTGATGGCGAAAGTGTTCTTGTTTTAATTGATTGATCATTATTATCAATAGGAGGAGGAGGAGGAGGAATTGTTGATGATGATTGATTTAATGTATGACGTCGATTCAATTCACTAATAAGATCAAGTAAAGGTCGACGATCAAATGTTTCTTCTTCATCTAATTTTGATGGTTCAACAAGATTTTCTAAGAGAAAATTTGATATTACTAATGAATAAGAATTATCTTTTAATGAAATACCTTCATTTAAAGTTATTTTTGTAGGAGATGGAAAAGAAAATTTTGTTTTCACTGATTTGTCTGATTCTTTTCTATGAGGTGATGAACTGACACTGACACGAACACTTTGTACAGAACTATTTGAAGCTACAAAAAATAAAAAAAATAAAATTTAAATTTTTTATTAAAAAAATTCATATATACTTGAAGATGGTCTTCGTTGATTTACAGTAACACAAGATGGTGAAATTGGTGGTTCAGTTTTAATAATTCGAGTAACTATAGATGGTGACATAGGAGATGTAGCTTTTTTAGTTGTACATATTGTTTCTTCTTGTTTTGTTTTCAGTTCAACTTTTCTATTATATCCATCTCTATTAACTTCAAATGAAATTCGTTTTTCTGTAACAACAGGCGTTGATCTTTCTTGAAGAATATTTGTTTTTGTTATTGGAAATGGTAAAATAGATGATGAATGAGGTTGAGATTCCATTGTTAATAATTTAATAGCTGACATTGTTTTTATTTTACGTAATGGAAAATAATTTGATGATTTTTTTTTTAATTGTGGATAACTTTTAATACGACGAATTTTAACTTTCGAACTAAAATATATTATAAAAATAAAAATAAAAAAATGATTAAAATCAAATATTTTTACTTTATATTCAATGGTTTTTGTATACGTAAATGAAAAGATTTTTTTTCAAAACATTGTTGATTAATATTTGAAGTTAATTGATCGTCGTTTTTTTTTGACGATCGATTGATTTTTTCAATTGAGTTATCCGTTTTTGATGAAATTTTTTTATCACATTTATTTTCAAAAACAGTTTGACGTGCTTTACGTTCTAATTCAAGTAATCGTTCAGTAAAACGTTTCAAACGATCGTATACTGTTGTAGAATTTAATGACGAAATTTTATCATTTAAATTCGATGAATTATATTCATTAAATGATGATGATGATGATGATGTTCGATAACGAAACCAACAAGAATTACGATAACGTGAAAGATATAATGGATTTGTTCGATTAAAATTTATATCATCAGTTGAACTATCGGAATAAATTCTTTCACGTCGATCGTATGATAAATTATCTAATTGACCATTCGATAAACGAATCTTTTAAATAAAAATATAATAGAATTATTTTAATTAAATAAAACAATAAGAAAAATATAATTATTTTTATTGTAAAATAATTAAATACTTGTTCAGATTAAAATATGAAGACTACATTGATGGTGAATCTTACTCAAAAGAGAAGAAAAAAAAAGGACAAGAAGGAAAGGATAGGAATAATTATGCTGCCTGTTGTTACATCAATACATACATATACAAGAGAGAAACCTCATCGGTACAATCAATATGAAATCAAGCAAAAGAAAAAGAAAGAAAAGAGTTTTCTTGTCGTTCGTTCTGTATCATCATAGATTACCAAATGTCGATACATATGTCGGGCTGCTCGGCCTCATAGCTTACCCTAAAGCATTGTCAAATATGGTCGATTGATGGGGAAGGATATAACATCACTCTACTGTTGTTGCCATTTAGTAAGAGATTCTTCCTCTTCCTCTTCCTGTTCTTCTTATTCTTCTTATTCTTTTCTTTTCTTTTCTTTTTTTCTTATAATATATCTTCGTCGTCTTATGTATATCTGTGAATGATGAGCTAGGAGAAGACACATACAATCGCCAGTAGCAGCGGTGTGCTCTTTTGTTTTGCTCTGCGTCAGGGTCGTCGGCATCGTCAATGTTTGTTGTTACCAACAAAAAAAATTACTCCAGAAAGAAAAATATCTAAGCATACACACACACAAACACATACTACTCAATGGATCCCTCGAGTAAAAACACGAGATCAATCAAATCTAATGTCACATATTTAAACAATATTAATTATTATAGAAAATAGAACAGGTTTTTATCGCTTTTTCATATATTTAAATCTAATAGAGTTGATGAAAAGTAACAAGGATATCATGTATTTAATAACAAATATCATCATTATTATCCAAATAAGAAGAAAAACAGATAACAATGAGTGGGAATGAGA